TGTTCTTCAATTTACATCTGTTGACGGATCCTAAACATGAACTTCAAGACTGTACAGTCAGTAGCATGGATGTTTAGAGTGCCTCAATTTGACGATCAATCAGAAGAAACAAGTCAGTCCTTTAGAAGACCTACATCACTAACAAGGAAAAATGGCTTTTTGTTTTAAAGATGAATTTCCTTATTTTTTTAGTGTCAAATTAAGCAAACTATTTGATTAATTGGTGTTTTCCATGAATTATCATGTATTGTTAATTATATCATTATGTTCTTAATACATATAATTAAGAGTTTTAACCAATCATAAATGTCCATGTATGTACAGTCTGGATAAACAAAAGGAACCCATCTTTAAGCACATTGACCTTCTTTCCTATTTTGGTTCTTGATGTAATAACCAAAACATCTACTTAAGCATTTGCAATGTTCACATCTATAAGTCCACCAATACAAAATTGAAGTTGCCATCTTGCTAACCTCCTAAAATAGAACTTACACAACACCTAACCTAGTTTCTAATAAAAAAGATTCATCCATCTATTGTACAATAGGTAAAAAGTATGTTAATGGTATGTTACAGGGCAATATGATCTGACCATATATCATATACTGTTATTAACTAGTACAATACCTAATACTAACATTACTATTACCAAACACATTATACATATATTATCATAGGGTATCTACTAACAATAGGTATATTGTACTGGAGATAAAAATTCTGCAACTTTTAAATTTTGCTGAATGTGGCATATGATAGACAAATATTTCCTGTAAAGCAAATCTAACTAGCTTTATCAGTCTTTACATGTGCAGAATCCAAGTTGTAATCCCTTGCATTGCTCCCTGAATCTGCTGCAGGTCAGTTAACTTGGTATCTCCCCATCATTTGCTTTTGAAATTGATGGCTGTGGTTTCTAATCTCAGTTGATGCAAAATCTTTCATAATTATTCCCTATGACTCACCTGTAAATGAGTTTTGGGTAATTACAAAAGACCATTTGATTTCGGTCAAAGGCTTAAAGTGATTCCCAATAAACACAAATTAGAGTAACAGTTGATGTCATGTTATCTTTCAAATCACATCCAATATTAAAGTCTAATCCACAGTTTTTGCAAGAGACCAGCTGGTAGAGTTGATTTCCTCCAGAAACCTAAGTCACCGTTGATATCATATATAACATTTCAAATCACATCCAATATGAAAGTCTAACCTGCAGTGAACCTGGATGAACCCTTCACAATAGTATCAATACAGAGACACATGTATGAATCTGATTAAAGGCTTAATTCAAATATAAATAGATATGTTTTCTATCATTGTAAGATCAAAAGCAAATTCAATTGATCCATTGACAAGATCTCCAGCTGATCATTTTTCACCTGAAGTGACCCCTCTAATCTATTGACCACTGCGGTTTGACCACTTGACCAGAACATGCAGTCATTGACATACTTGTTAATAATATACAGTTAGTGTAGGTTCATCAAGTGGAAAATTGGTTGATTGTCAGATTAAACTATCTGTTGTAAGGTGCATTGCATTCTACAAAACAACAATCCAAATTGTCAAAACTGTAATTATGTCCAATTTTTTAAACCCTCTCTATGTCCATCTGTATTTATCAATACTTGCTGAGATTACATCCCAAACTATAAGTTCCCTCACACCATATCGATTACCAGTTGCATAAGGTTGTAAATAATGAAAATGGTCATACGTTTAAAACGCAACTCAAAACCCAGTTGCATTCAAAATGACTCTTATTCTTATTCGCAACCATACGCAAACTGGTGATCACTACCTAACTTAATAATTAAGCTTTAAGGTAACATAAAATATACTCTATAAGCTTGTTTTTGATTCAGTTTGACCGGTGAAAAGGAGAAAAATCAATTGAATCAATAAAATAAGGCGGTTTTAGAAATGATAAATCACACTTTGATGTAAATGGAATGCTGATTGATAAACATAAAGCTATGAATAGGAGTACAAGGTTCACAGTGGGTGGTGGCCATTTCGATCAGTTTTTCAATTTAATTCAAAACAATGTAATGAATAGTTCAAGGTATTCAAATAGTTACTATTTAACTTAACAGAAAACCTAAGAAGTAAGCAATCATTCAAAGGACACATAGGACAAAAATAACTGTTTTTTTACAGAGAGTTCTACTTTAATATAGCAAGAAATAAAAGCCTTATCAAATTATTTTTTTAACATTTCAACAGGTGATAATAGCCTCTTAATAGAACTTTTCATCAAAATTTAAAAAAAAAATCATTAATAGATTACATAAATGATAAAGGTCTCAAAATGGAACCTTGCTTCAAGCCTAACTAAATGCATTAAGTTTCACTAAAGGAAATAAGTAATCAAGATTAAATGTGATAACAAGATATTTATTTTAACACAGGGAATTTATAGGTAATAGTTTTGTGGCAAATGCAAATGAAATTGTAGTTTCTTAACCCAGGGCCTTCTCAAAAAAATTTACTTAGATAGAATCCTGATTTTAAGAATAGCATTAATTTGAAAAATAAAAATAAAATCAGATTGGAACACTAAAAATCATTTTCTTATTAGTTGAGTTTTGGAGAGAAAAACACCAAGCTTAAAATTCAAATTTGATTGCATGACAAATACCTTCATGTACCAATCAATTCAAATTTGATTGAAATTGAAATGTATCATTTAATTCATCTTGTTACCAGTATAAAATGATAATTTGGTTACAAGTCAAATACCATCATTTATCAATCAAATCAATCAAATTTGATTGGTATTAAAATTCATTAATCTGGTTGGGTTATTTCAGGTCATCCTCTCTTAGTTTTTTATCATTGGTGAACCTGACTTGACCTTTCAAATCCCTATGTAAATATTTGTATTATAGTTTCGACATTTTTAACAATGTGATACAAGGGCACTCATTTTCAATTTTCATTCAAACGTCAGATTACTTCAAAACATTATAATGGAGATGCCACTTTGATTTTTAGATGAAGTCAGCAATTTTCCAGAAATGACAATTGCCTTTGAAATACCGATTCAATTTTAGCCACATTATCAATTTTGGTGTTCAGAAATCTGTATATGTATGTTTCATTATCAAAATAACATGGCTAGAGGCATCAGAGAGAATTTTACATCGAACAAGACAAAAGTATCCATCAAGTTTATCCAAAAATAAGAAAATTGGATCTGGAAACAGGCTAACTATTAGCTCTATTTCCAAGTTTTCTAAATTACAAAAATCTGACAAGCCAAAGACTTTTTGAGAGGCAAGATACCACAATGGAATCAACAATTCAAATAGGCATAACATACTTCATTAAGATGCAGAATTTATGTGGAAAAACAGCATTATTTTTTGAATTAGCACACATTTTTCTAAACTATTTGGCATCATATGTCACACAATATGAAAAGAATACCAAAACCAAAGTTCAGAACTTCCCACTGCAATACTGCTGGTCACACTTACAGAAGCAAGGTACAAAGTCCCCTTTTGTATGTGGAATATAGACTTGGGTCATAGATAACACTAATTAAAAGGTAATGAATGAGTCATAATTAAAAGACTGTAAGGTTATCTGCATTTAGAGGATATACCTTGACTTCCCGCCCTATATTTACTGATAATACTCAGTTGTATTAGTTTAATTATAAACAATGCCTTTCATTGGTCTAATGACATATACAAATTAAAATTCAAGACAGTTTAAATGTCTCCTCTTTTATAAGATATTTGTTTTATATCTAGTTTGACAAGTACTTGGTGAATAATGCATGTTACTATGTTCATTCTTGGTTAGCAACCATTTAGATTCCTGGTGCTTGTAAATTTAGCTCATTAACTCCTGATACCTGTAACTTTGATACATTATCTCCTGGTACCTGTAACTTTGATACATTATCTCCTGGTACCTGTAACTTTGATATATTATCTCCTGGTACCTGTAATTTTGATACATTATCTCCTGGTATCTGTAATTTTGATACATTTCTCCTGGTACCTGTAACTTTGATACATTATCTATGAAGGGTAAAGATGTGCAGGAACACGTAACTTGAGTCTTTTTTTTTTATAAGGCAAAAATTCTGTTGTCTTTGAAGTCAGTTATCTTTACCACAAACATCAAATAAGGAATACATTTAGTGGATATTATCTTTACATTTTTAATTTTTTAAACAAAATTTCTTTTTTGTTAAATCAGACAATAGGCATTAGCCTCATTTGCCTTGATGTAGTTACGTTATGAAGTGGTGGCATAAAGATTCTCATCAATTCAAAATAGCCTAGTAACCATGGTGGTGATTGCTTGTAGCCCCTTAAGTTACAAGAACCCGAGGAGTTTAAAAACCAGGGATTTATATAATCCATTAATTCATAACACCTAAAAAAAAGACTCAAAGTTACAGACTTCATTTTCCACCTGCACACCCAGAATTCTCATAGTGTTTTTTAAAAAAATATTTTGGTGAACAAAAGAAACATGAGCAGACTGTCCTAATTTTTGTCTGATAAGACCTACTTGTGTTACATTTTTTTTAGATGCGCATATTTTAAAATATTCAACTTACCTTTCAAATAATCTACTTATTATGAAAATGTTTACAGTTTTATGGTCAACATTGAAGTTATGTATCACTTATATTCACAAGTCAGTTGCACCTATTTGCAATTTCAACAAAATCATTTAAACATAAATACATCTACATAATCCTTAATTCATCTGAAGCCATAGTTCCACATATTTGAAGAAAAGAAAACTTGGCAAAATGTCTACTACATTCAAATACTTATACCTATTTCCACTGGCCACAATGTTGTGGTCTGTCAACTAGGCCATACATTAGTCTATTGTGATATAGTATGCTAATTAGATGGGGTCAGAAAGGTTAAAGATATATATGGTCAATGTTGACCAGTATAGGTTTATCAGTCTAGGGCTATTATTGATAATAATTAGATATTAATAGTAGATATTAATATTGACTTGGTGTTAATTCAGGGTTTTATAATGTTTGTTTCGCCTGAAGAAGATTATCTATTCCTAAGTAATGAGCAAGACCTTTAAGGAATTGTAAAGAGGTTTTCTAGTGTGTATTTTTTCTGGCTACTAATTGCATCATTCCAATTTTCAGTCTGATGTCTATGGTTTCTGTAATAAAAATCTATAGAAGCAAGACAATTCTGTCCATCAAAAATCTCGTCCAAAGAATAGCAAAAATCAAAATACAAAAACCTCTAAGCAATCCCTTTAACTTAGGATTTTATCTCCCACATTTGAAAATCATGAAGTCGACCTAACTTTAAAAAGAATATTAAGGTATCAAAGTATATTTGAAGGTAAACATTAATGAAAATTGATCTGCCTTATAAATCATATTAAAACCAATATTGACAGTGTATCATATTCTTTGACAGTTTCTAAATAAGAAGGTATAAATAGTCTAATCTATGTTCTCAATAACAGTAAGACACTTGAGTCTTGTATTCACTTTCAGATTTTTGATTACTGATACATGTCCGGGTTTTTATTTATTCAGTTATAAAATCAAGCCCATACTATAGCATATTATACTGTGACAACGTTACAATATAATATTCCAGAGAATTTAATGCTTAACGCATAATGGTTTATAAACAGGTTGAAATGAGGCCATGATACATACACAGACTGACATTGGACCATAATGATACATAGACAGGTTGAAATGAGGCCATAATGTTACATAGACAGGCTGACACTAGACCATAATGATACAGAAACAGACTGTCATTGGACCATAATGATAATACATAGATTGAAATAAGGCCATAATGGTACATAGTCAGGCTGACATGGACCATAATGATACAGAAACAGTTGACATCTTGCTACATAACCATACTGCAATGATTATACATAAAAAAGTTGATATTGTACAATAATGATACATGAACACAACCATAAATGATACACAAACACAACTTCTGCACAGAACCATTATGACGCATAAAAAAGATGCATAAACAAATTGACGAAAAACCACAAGGATGCATACAGACTGTCAAAGAACCATAATGATGCATACAAGTTGAGGCTAAACCAAACTGATTCATAAATAGATTGACATTGAACATTGCATCTTTGTAATATATCAAATCTACCATAACAGATATGCTATGACCAAAGCAACAACACACATTGTGTAATTATGACTAATACAGAAGACATAAGTCACTCACTAATTACCTAAATGTAGCCAATAACCACAAACACAAACAAAATAATACTTAGTATATCTATGTAAATATATGTAATAAAAATTAATCATTAATTGTATCTCAGATCTAATTAACAATCTGATTATGTCATGACAGGACAGAGAAACATAATTAACATAAATAATTATCAATCAATGACTAGGGTCATGTCAACAAACCAATTTTCTACTCTATTTTGAATATGTAATACCCTTGTCAGAAGACATAACTCTTTCAATTGAATTAATCAAGATGAAGATAAAAATAAGGTCACTCTGAGGATTGATTGGAATGTAATGTTTGAATGAAAAAATGGGAAAAAAAATCCTAAATTTTTGACCGTCTCTTTTATTAAAAATATTTCTGACAACTGTAACTTTTATGCTACAACAAATCATGATCAATATTTTGCAATAATGTTACGAACATATATAAGTATATATATATAAGTTATATGTATCTCATACAAGTATATAGGGCAAATAATACCCAAAATTTTAACCACCTTCCTCAAAAACAGATTTTACCAAAGTAACCAAGACTATTGAATAGTGGATGTCAACTTATCAACTGTGCACAATTCCAATTTTCATTCGGACGTCTGTGGTTCTTGCAATTTCCCAAGAATGAATTTTATGATGTCGGAATGAAAATTGGAATGGTGTAAATTAATACTATCAGTTTCCCTGATACACATAAAAAATTTAGAAAACCTCTTTACAATCCCTTTAACTTACAGTTGATCTATATTTCCTGGTCAAGTATTAAACAAGATATATAAAGATGTAGATTGTAGATATGCTTGTATAATAACAATTGATAATAACCAGCAGGTAGTCTACTGTCTTTATCATTTCCTTCTTATATTATTATATACTACACATTTCCTCATTGACCAAACATTACAATGGACAATGGTCAGAATGGACACCTTTAAATTTATTTTATGTCATCTAAGGTCCAATTGTTACTTCGAAATATTTCAGTTCATGTCAAAATATATGAACATTGAGAGAAAAATATTGAAGAACTTTCTTCTGAAGGTCTTAAAATTTGTCTAGCCATTTTGTTGGCACCATTCTCCATTCATTTCAAACTAAATGGTACTAACATCATTGGCAGCAATTTTTGAAAATCTGAACAGCACAAATAGAAACTGCCAGTGCCCCAAATGGACATACAAAGGTCAGAAGTGATCTAGTTTCAATTCTTTTGAGAAGTTTTGTACAATGCACTCAAATATTCAGAAAAGGAAATGGTAACTTTTATAATCTAAAGTATCAAAAGTTAAAATAGAAACAATGAAAAGCAAACAATTTCAAAATCACACGTTTGTCAACTGTATTGTGTAATTATTTGTAGGCTTACGTCAATGGTGGCTTTTTAAAACTTTAAACCCAGTTGCTAGATGATGTCACTAACCTAAAATCTATTCAATGTTTAAAATATTTTGAATGTTTTTGTTCAGGAAAAGTTGAATTGAAGTTAGTATCCTGTGTAGATGTACCTACATTCCTTTTAAAGGTGTAACAGGGTGAAGTCAAGAACGGCAAAGAATAAAAATCCCTACAAGCAAGACAATTCCATCAATCAACAATCTCGTCCATAGAATGTCAAATTTGGGAGTAAAGGTAGTACATTAGTGGACTGCTCTAAAGAGAAGTAACATCAGGTGTTTCGAAAAGAATTAATTTGGTTCACACGCGACAACCGTTGTTAAAGTGATACAAAGCAACCACAAAGTTTACATAACAAATTAAGCAATTTTAAAGTTTAAAACCACAAAAAAAAATTTTATCCAAACTCCTTAAAGGTAGTTCGGATTAACTAATCCTTCTGTTACAGATTCAAACAGCTCAGGTCATTTTTGCGAGAATAGAATCTCTAAGTTACCAGTAGTCTTGAAATAATAGTTGCCACAGTGACTGGTATCATACTGTTTGTTGAAACACGATATATCTGTCCCCCCTTTTTGGGGACCTTTGCTTTTTTTAAACAAACAGTCCCTGTGTTAGTTGCTCTCAGATTCTCATAATTTTACTTAGAAAAGATTATTAGAGTCTTACAAAACTTGAAGTTTAAATATTTAAATATTATCATTTTGCACCTCTATAATGGTTGTGGGTAAATTTTTGTTTAAATCTGTCTCCATTTTTTTCTCATTCAGCTCAAACTAGCTTAATATAGATTATAAATAAAAATAGTGTCATCAGCCATGTTTTTATGATGTTGTTTTTAAATTATATTATAATTACCCTGAGGGTAAACATAGTATATATGAAGGTCATAACAGATTAACAACTAAATAATTTTCATATTTCATGATTTACAATCAAGCTGATAAATAAATGCAGTTAATTCTGTCAGCATCAGTCCCTTGGTTTAAAATATTTATTTCAACTTAATACCAGGGCAATGGGATAGCTCGTTCAAAAGAAAATGAAGTTGGTAATGAAGTTAAAATTCTTCTTGGGCCAAAAACAATTTCACAATGATCATGACCTTCAATGGTCTCCATCCATCAAAAGTGTTCAAGGTCATTTTAATCCTGAAAGATTACCAATTTTCACTTTGAGTCATAAAAATCCGGAATGTTTCAGTCAAGTGTGGGAAAGTTCAAGCTTTTGATTTCAGAGAACCAATCAGATTAATAAATTGACTAACTCAATGGTCCTAGGACACCTTCATTTCAAAAGAGCAGCTGACATGTTTAAGATACATTATTCCTCATCAGGACAGCTGTTTTGGAAATTGGGTTTACACTACAATACCAGAAGTTTTAGTGTACGAGGATAGAAAACAGATTCTTTATAGAAATGTATACCTAAGTTAGTTTATCACTATCCATATCTCAGATTATCATTATAATGAATCGAACAATATCATAGTAGTGACAAATTCCAAGCAGGTTACGCTTACTCTTTTCAGAACACCTGATGGTACTGCTCCATGGAGGTGTCCACTACTATACAACTTTTACTTCTGGTTTCAACGTACTTTGAACAAGATTTTGATTAATGGAATTGTCTTGATTGTACTGTTTAATTTGTTCGTAAATATTGGCCGGATCAACTATCTTACACAATGTCCAATATAAAATAGGTAGATTGTTGCTGGCAGACCACTCCCCCAGATTATCACCATGATTTAACAATTGTTGTTATATATGTATAGATAACGGGTGTATTTTCTCAATTAGTCATAAAACAACAATAATCACAAGTTAGTTCCTTATTTAGATATATTTAGTTTAAACTATGTATAGGATTGTTTTCAATGAAAGTTTGGGATTGTAATACAATGGTGCAATACAATATGATTTTGACATTTTCTTTCAAATTTTGTTCATCCAATAGTGTAAGTTTCAATTCAAATGAATATAATGATCAATACAGCCTTCAAATGATAAAGGGGAGCAGCGGTGGCTCAGTGTGCTTGGTCCAGGGTTCAACTCCAGCAAAGGTCGAGATAATACCTTCAGATTTTTCAACAGACTAATGCTGCTGTCCTGACATTATTTCTCTCACTGCACCCTGCCTGGCGTCGCTGTCTACATTAGCCCAAACGGTGCAGAAAAGTAGGATGTAAAACTCCATTCATTTTATTTAAAATGATATAGTGCAGTATAAAATAAAAATTTCAAATTTTTATATAATATTTTGACTTCTTAATCATATTCTGAACCTAAAGGACTGTTAAATTGTCATCTGATCTGTGATGTCAGAGTGAAGTTACCAAACATATGGTCACAATGCTCATAAATTAACTGAAGTAGTCTTTTGTTTTTGATAGTTTACAAAATACTGGGAAAAATTGAAGAAAAAGCCAAGATATAGGTAATATGACAAAATTTAATATACAAGAAAATATGCAAGGGTTCCATTGTTTGAATTATAGGTAATAAGGGGGATCAACTAAACCCTTGCCCCACACGTCATTCGTCCCCTGACATGAAAGGGCAAACTCTACATATTATGACAAGAACTAGAAGAACTCACCTCAATCTGTCAACAATACTGTATAGTAAATTTAAATAATTTTACCAGAAGACAAGTTTAAAACTCCAGACATAAGTCAACATAGATCACTTGAGGTAAACTAAACAATAAATACACACTGAAGCTTAGTGTACTTGATAATGTTTATCATGGGTAGTCCATTCACAGGTAGACAGGATCATAAGACCTTTAACTAGCTTCACATCACATACACACAGACAGGTATGATGTTGATCTAGAATTTAAAGGGATTGTAAAGAGGTTTTCTAAATTTTCTATGTGTCGCGGACACTGATAGCATTAATCTACACTATTCCAATTTTCAATAAGACGTCTGTGGTTCCTGTAATTCCACTAAAACTAAATGTTTGATGCCGCCACTAATCGCAAAATATGCTTATCACATAAGGACTTTTGCGATTAGTGACGTCATCAAACATTTAGTTTAGTGGAATTACAGCAACCACAGACGTCTTTTTGAAAATTGGAATGGTGCAAATGGATGCTATCAGTGTCCCCAACACACAATTTTTTTTTTTAGAAAACCTCATTACTATCCCTTTAAATGTTAAAGCATAAATCCAGATGGGAAAAAAGCAAAAAACAAAATTACATATATTTGATTTCAATTTTCGCATTTATTAATACTAAAGTTCATTAATATTGTAAGTGAAATCTATTATAATACTTCTTTAAAGATTTTCATTTCTTTCAAAACCAAGTTAATCTTTAATAGAGTGCTTTCAAAGGATACAGGAACTGAACATTAATTGAAAGCTCTCCTCATAAAAAGTTATCAAAAGCCTTTGAAAAAGGCAGACATGAAAAAAAGGTGATATGGATTTCATAAGCTTTTTATCATAACTGATGAAACTGGGTTATCATAATCATAAATACAGGTTGAATTCACAGGTGAAATATTGTTAAGTTTATACATATAGTTTTAATTTTCAAAAATTGAAGAGTCAAAAAAAAACTGCAATTCAGTTTAAAATTTTGTCTTTTCAAAATCAGTCATGTATATACAAGCAATTATAAAGGAAGGCAACTTTGAGAAAAAGATGCATTTTTTTAAAACTACCATCTACAGTTATTTATGATATAAATAAAATTCAAATCTGAATAAAAAACCTCTTGTCATAAAATACTTAAATTCAAACTATGACAGCTTATATTTGTTTCAGAAATCTGCCAACCAATCAGATTGCAGGCACAAATTTTGGAAAACCATCTTCATGTTGATAAATGTACATGCATTAAATATGTTCACCAACTTAATGATAGTTGATTTTACTGATTTCATTTCAATAGCTGATCTCAATTGTCTGCATATGGAACCCTAATCAGGACAGAGAAAACAGGAAACTCACTAATAAGTTGCAAAACTCTAATCCTTAGGCTCAAGCACTATGGTGCATGCAATTTCAAAAATATGTGTTTAAAATGAAACCTGTCCAATGAAATATAAATGTCAAGAGTAAATAATATATTACATATTCAACTGACATTTTGTCACTATATGTAACAAGTTTTAAAAACATGGATGAATAATAATAGTTTAAAATAAATTAATTGTCCTATGATTCAGAATACACAATGTGGCCAGTCATCAGCTGGTATTTTGATGCCTTTGATTCTCATTAAATTCAGACAAGAAAACTTCTGACACCATGGCCAGTGAGGATAGATGACTTATTCAAGATAATCAGACAAAAATATGTTACGAAAATTGGAAACTAAGAAACAATCAGGTGGAAAATGTTTAGGACAGAACATATTCCGTGTTTCCTATTGAAATTTGAGTCACCTGCATGAAGACAATGATACAATCCCTTGGTGTTTAACCTTTGACCCAAATTGTCTATATTTGGGGTATGAACCAGGTCTAATAGTGTTTATTTAGATATAGTCTTCCCTGTTTTCTACTGAAATGTCACGTAAACAATGAAAGGGAAATCCCAGAATGACCTGTATAAGATCAACTGATAGGTGATATGTCATGTGATGTGGTTGTATTTTGAATTTTAATGTCATAGAAGCAAATGTTACAATTTGCAGTGTACTGGATGTAGGAGTCTAAATAAGAAATAATATGCAAGAGCAAAGCAAAAGGTTTCATTTATGCAGACATTCTAAGACTGGACTGTTATTCCAATTCTGATAAAAAAAAATTGAAATTTTTTTAAAAAATTTTTAACTTTGCTCGAACAATGGATGCATTAAAGTAGATTCCAAAAACTGTTTTTGCTTCATTCAATTGGCATGGACTTCAGGTAGACAGCATTTCTGCTCAAGTCTCTCATGGCGCTTTGTAATTATTGCTTGAAAAAACACTAATTTCTGCCTTATAGAAATTCCAGTTACATATAGCAATAGATTATTAACATTATATTGCTATTAAAGAAGTCAAAATATCAAGAATCCAATCAAATCTGACTTCCTCACCAACAAAAATGGCAGCCACTGATAAGTAAGATGTAATGTAGAAGTGACAATGAAATTTCAACTATGTTCTTTAAGTGAACAATGAAGCATGTGACATGAAAGTGTCTTCTCTTTGAAGTGCCATTTGTTTTCATGTCTGTGCTTTGAAATAACTGAAAAATGATGTGTTTTTGATGCTGAGCTTGCATCGTGCACCTAATATACATGAAGGTAAGTAAAGGGAAGGAAGACCAGTTACTTGGTACAATCTGAAATGAGACTTACCTCTTCTTCTAGGAGGAGGAATAGGACTGTCAATATATTCTCTAAGATTAGAATCACGATCTTCACTACATGATCTCTTTACAGTCTGAAAATAAACATTTAAATTATTAATTTTCCATGGAATTAGATATAGAGAAATTCCAAATAGTTACATAACTCTTGAGAGGCCTTCAGACGAGGCCTTAAGGCTTTTTGAGGCAGAAAACTCATAGAATGATAGTATTATATCAGAATATGTGTACGTCCAATAAAAATAGAAATTGCAAAAAAATTTCATAGAAATTTACATGTACAAATACTCTTGATGACCTTTTGCTCATAAGATTCAAGATTAAGGCTGGGTGCATAATAAAATACCTTTTGAATGCAAAAGTAATCCATACCCCAACCACATTTCTGACCTGAACAGCAGAATATTAACTGAACACCATATACAAAGAATGATATTTGCACAGGACAACAGGTATCAACCTATCATACAAATCAACTAATAAATTGAAACCATTCACACAAGAAATTTGTCCAACCAAAACATACTGAACCATCCAAAATAAGAACACATTTAAATAAACTAATCACACAATAAGTACGTAAAATCAAATTAATATTAAAATTCTACCAATCAAAAATACATCATTATCAAAAAAACATCATTCCATCATCAAATTAAATTGAAAAATAAAAATTGAACCATTCTATCCAGACACAAAACTGCAGAAAATCTGAGTATATTAAAAACTGTATATAGCAGACGTAAAGTTGTGCCTCTGTTCATATCTACTTCACTTTTGTTTAATGTTATAATTTGAGAAGATGTTTAACATATTTCAATAAAATTAAAAATTATAAAAAAGATAAACTATACACAGGTGCAAAATAAAAATTATCTTTAAAAACTCATTTTAATTTTCAAATGAACCACATAATAGAGGTAGCAAAAGAAAAATTTGTTAAGCTGGTAAAACCATTAAATTTTCTCCCTTGCCATGCAGTATTTTTCTACAATTCAGGTTCACTGCCATATGATGTTGTTACAATTACAATTAAGAAAAAGTCTACAAGATTACAAATGAAATGAACGGAGTTTTACTTTCTACTCTTTGGCACCTAATTTTGCTCATAAAAATGGGCACAGACATGTAGAGTGGAGGGAGTGTAGCCACAACAGCGGCAAGTTAACTGCACAGACTTTAGCACACTAGCACACAATTAAAAAAAAAAAAATGGTTTCGAACTTTAGATGATGTAAATAGCAACAGTAAAGCCTATACAAAATTCGATTCTCAACAAAATGCAACTTCTTTCTGACTTAAGCTCAATTTGGAAATGTTATTCGATTTATTGATCCAACTATACACATTTTTGCCAATTAAGTAATGTAATAAATCCATGGAAATCTCCATGTATCAACTCTTCATCTTCCAATTTAAATTGTATCAAAAATCTCGCTTGTTGTGAAGGGAATTTTCCTTCAATTTTGGGGATAATGAAGACTTATTATTATCAAAATCAAATTAAAGTATCGTGTCACAACTACAGTTTAAAATTCAGGACTTATGACATCACAAAACCTGCAACTGCATGTAAATAAAAATTTTCCATTTCTACTATAAGAAATGACAATTCAAATTTCTATGACAGAAAATAAGACATTACCTGTAGAAAAGTCACATCTAATCCAAAAGAAAAAATCTTTGCCAAAGTTGAGATATCAATCAAAGAGTGAGTTCAAGAGTTTATGGTTAACCTACAGTAAAATGATGATTAGTGTAGAAGAGTTGAACCATGTACATGTTAGCCTATTTAAAAGAACAAGATGATTGAAATTTTTTGTAGATGTAAACTAGAGGTATAATGAGACCATGTGGTAATAATATAAAGAGAAGATATCTGGTTATATTAGCTAGGTAAACTAATATGTATTCAGTGCACCATGATATCTTCTCTATTTTAATCAGTATAGGTCAGGTGATTTTTAAATTTTTTATGAAATTATCTAAGGTTTCTTCACTGTTTTGTGTTAGTTAATTGTAAAGCCATTCCAAGTTTTGTGTTTAATTCCCATATTATGATATTTGTTTCCTCATTTTGCTTGGTTTTTACCCCTTGGCATGTACCTGGAAACTTTATTCTGTTTTCATTAGCCCAATTAGGTGCAGGACCTTGTTTCTCAAAATTCCATAAGTCTAAACTTATAATGTTTAACTAAGAATAAGAATAATTTTTTTTAATTTATAACGTTTACGCTGGTACGTTAATCTAAGATATTTTGTGAAACATGGTGTAGGAAATAGGCTGACACATCTACCTCTATTTCAGTCTCTGATAGATATTTTGCAAGTTGTCGGCTGGTGTAGAGACAGAAAAACTAGCCCTGATTTGTGGAGATTTTTCCCTCCTTTTAAGTTGCAGGGTTTTCATCCTATTTATTTAAATCAGTGAAATCCAGATAAATCCATGAAGATGGATATTTTTGTAGTTCAGTCATACCATCATATTCACCCCTACCCTACAACCATTTATGTCTTGTGTTTGGCTCCATCTGGGTTGTCTAATTTTCACATAAGACTTAAGAGTCGTTGATTGGTTTCCAATGATCTTGAATACACCTACATAGTACTCCAATAAATAACTAATATATGATCGGTATGTTAGAAAATTATATTGAAGTGGTTATAAACCTATCGGTACTTCACATACCAAACTACTATTAAGTACTATTATAAATTATACTAGATTACTAATACTTATTAAAGATTTAGGCTTTTCCTCATATAACATTTATTCTGCATTTAACTTTTATTTTATGTACATGTAGGTTAGAGGATTTACAAGCATGCCTTAAATCGAAAAAATTTTCACGAAATTTAATAATGGCATTTACAGCGACATAAAAAGAGAAATGGTCGACCACATTATTTCAACTTTTTAGTCTGTCTGCACAACTGGATTAAAGTCTAAATTGTGCAGAGAAAATTGAGTTTCCCACAAGCATTTACATCCGAACTCGAAAAAAATTTCCATTAGTATGACATTTCATTTCCAAGGAGTTCAAATGATAATATCTCCATCCTGAATAAATATCAAAAATACAAACCTTTCTTTTAACAATGGATATCCATTTCCTTAGTGGAGAAGCCATTTTGCCTTTAACGTAGAGTATGCATACTTTACTAGTACAAAGTGGAGTTTCATAAAAAAAAATTAACAGTTACAACAGGTCTATCAACACATACCACAAACTTATTAGGTCCGAAAACAGACGTACAGATGATCCATGTTTGTTCCTATTTTAACAAACCGAAATATTGCACTGCTCTCACTGATCATACATTTGTGTTACAACAGATGATGAACTGCTATCCAAAGAAGAGACTTTTGACATTATTTCATAAATTACAACATGGACATTCAGGATAAGACTGCTGCAAGACATAAAACCAGTTCTACAATCATGGATAGCTTAAGATGCCGTCTGGCCTATGTGCACACATTTGTCTGAAATGGTCCAATCGTTCAATAATCATTCCATATCAGAGTATTCTGTTGCTGCCTTCATCAAAGTATATGCCTCAAAATTTGCCAAAATTCATTCACGCAAGTCACATTCTATTCATTGTCAGATGCGATAATTTAACCAGCCGTTTAAAATCTGTAATCAATAGTAAGTATTATCTAATCAAGGTTTTGACATGGACAAGATGGAGATATTTTTATCAGAGATTTCAATGCTGGTAGATGATAAATTCACAACTAACTGATATTTTTCATGTTCAGGACTAACGTAACTTTCAGTTTCTATATCAAATCACAAGCTCACATGTTTCAAATTCAAGATAAAGTTTTGAATATGTGTATGTTAAATTAATTGAGTACTAGTAAAATGACAAAATGGATATTCTTATGGCTTCTTCAAATTCAAGAATGAACAAGAATATTTTCATGTGATTAGGCTGCTAGAAACTTTCTGATTTCAAAGTCCATTGATGAATCCAGACAATCCATTGAAATTGTCTAGCATAAGTAAGTTGCAAACTTCAAATCTTATGCCATTTCTTTGCAACATCAAAAAACTAAGTGGTTACAGATCCTTTTGTATGTTGAACCAGGGTAAAGATCAATGCCAAAAGTTTTGTCCAAGAACTGGCTGGTAGACATGATCTTCGTGAACCCAGGTAGTTAACCTAGTATAAAATATACCAGAATTGCGTCTGTTCCTTTGGAATCACATAAGTCCAGGCTTTCACAGCTTTTTCAGAAAATGTTTCACATCCAAAAAAATCTATCAAAATTATTTCCAGAAATATCTACTTTTTAACAGTTTAACCTATTAATTTATGAACAATATAGAAGTACAATGTCATAACAATAAAATATTTACTTCATACTTGCCAAAATCCAAAATCAAACAATTTAAATCACTAATCATCACAAGAGCTCAAGGCCTACAAAAATGTGTTAATTTTGGTTTATCAATAACACATGGGCTGTCACAAAAAGAAACTAAGTTCTCTAAATCTACATTCTATTCAGATATAATGTCCAAAGCTTACATGGAAAAGATATAAAACCATGTGTACCTACCGTATACCTATCAGCAACAGTCACTCTACCTATTCCACAAAAACGCAGTCCACATAACATTTTAAATCCAGCTATATACTGACGAAACAATGCCCAACACAAAAAGTCTCCACAGAACACAGGTACGAAAAGTGACTTTTCTACCTCCAATATAAGATACTCATAGCAATATTTCTAGATGTAAAAATACGATATCGTAAATGATTCCCAAATGTATTTCTTTATAAATAAATGATATACCTTTATATCTCACCTGTATACCACATGACAATAGATTCTACTTATATCAGTGTCAAATTGATAACATTGTGATGAGATGAAACAGAGTTTTAGGACATAATTTTTGTATCTTGTACACTACTATGAAAGAATTTACCATTTATTTTGTCTGAAAAACGTCACCAAGCATTTTGTCTGAACAACGGCACCAAACATTATGTCTGAACAACAGCAACAAGCATTTTGTCAGAATAATAACACCAAGCATTTTGTCAGAATAACAGCACCAAGCATTTTGTCTGAACAACAGCACCAAGCATTTTGTTAACAGCACCAAGTATTTTGTCTGAAAAACATCACCAAACATTTTGTCTAAACAACACCACCAAGCATTTTGCCTGAACAACAACACCAAGCATTTTGCCTGAACAACAACACCAAGCATTTTGTCTGAACAGCATCAAGCATTTTGTCTGAACAACAAAACCAAGCATTTTGCCTCAACGTTACCAAGCATTTTGTCTGAACAACGTTACCAAGCATTTTGTCTGAAAAACAAAGCTAAGCATTTTCTCTGAACAACAGCATCAAGAATTTTGTCTGAACAACAGCATCAAACATTTTGCCTGAACAACAACACCAAGCATTTTCTCTGAACAACAACACCAAACATTTTGTCTGAACAACAGCACCAAACATTTTGTTTGAACAACAACACCAAGCATTTTGTTTGAACAACAGCACCAAACATTTTGTCTGAACAACAACACCAAGCATTTTGTCTGAACAACAGCACCAAACATTTTGTTTGAACAACAGCACCAAACATTTTGTCTGAACAACAACACCAAGCATTTTGCCTGAACATTTAACATTTTCAAATTTGAAGAAATTGAAAAGTATTAATTAATATATTCAGTTGATAATTAAAGAAATGAGATACAGACTGACATGTACTTTATCTTGATAAATAAATTGACAATAAAAATAAAGTTATAATAATAAATACAGAGAGAGGAGAGTGATTTCTGAGTGAACTGTAGATCTAAACATATCTTATCTCACCTGTATACCATATGACAGCAGACGTATAGATACCTGAGAATACATCACAATTACTACAAATGTTACATAAACATTCAAACACGTTTTTAAACTTTCAATTCTTAATGTTAAATGAAAATTAAGTGAGATTTACACCCTATTTTCTGCCCCTGATTGGCCTAATGAAAACAGGTACACAATGCAGTGTACAATGAGAAAATGAGCTTTGTCGATTATCAACTGTTAAGAGATCTTTAAAGTGCACAGCCTGTAGCCCAAATGACTAAAGAATTTCACCATGTCATCCCCCCCCTCGGAGGACTTGCATCACTGGAGGGAAACGAGTTGAAAAATCCAAAAGTATTTTCTCACCCTATGCCAGTTGTGAGCCAATCTTAAGTACATCTCTAACATTATCAAATTATTTATGAACATTGCACGAAATTAAATGCAGAAATCTATTTAGTGCTTTCTTGTCTCAACAGTCTTTCAAGACTCGATTAACATTAGGATGTAAACTTTTGTTATCGTTAAACTTCTGGCAGTGTTTTCTAGATTGAAGACTAAAGGGAGAAAACCTACATGTTATATATCAGACAACAAATGACTCTTTGGTATAGTTTTAATGTTTAAAAATGAAGTACAACTCATGTTTGATATTTTCTTTCCCTTTCCTTACTCTGAAATTTAATACGTTTTGTTATACACAAATGAATCTTGTGAAATATTTTATCAAGACTACCTGTAACGTAAAAGTCAAACTCTTGAAGAACAACAGACTTGCTTCAAGACAACATTCAAATCTTGGGCGCCATGGCAAGTTATGCATGTTTTTCATGAAAATATTGATTTGTGAAAGCCTTTCCCAGATACTTTCAATTAATGACAGTAGCCTCCAATGATATACTGGCAATGCTAGCCCATAACCAAAGTAACTAACACAGTATGGTAAGAGTCATGGTAAGAGTCATGGTAAGAGTCGTGAAGATTTGAACAGATGTCATAGTTCTTAAAATCATACAAATAATCAATCTAATTAAAACTCAATGCCAAGAAGATTCCAGGGACTCGCTGGAAAAGAACAGAGCTTAGGAATCAAAATTGCTATTCAAACAAATACAAAATTGTTTGTTTTTAGAACTGTCTATGTTTAATTGCCATCATCCATGAAATATCATCCATGAAAAAAGACAACAAATCAAATGTCAACCAAAAAACAAAGTTATATAAAGCTAACTGAAGTTTCACAAACAAATCAACAAGAGTAAACGTACAACTATAAAAGAGAGAAAGTTGTAAGTTCAAATCAACACAATTCAGTAGGTAAATATCAAATATTCCAAATATTCTACACCAGTCAGCCAAGTTTTAAGTCTGAAAAGTCTAGTTCAAATATTTATAACATAACATTAAAGATACCTTTCTACCAGACTTGATTTGTGCTTGTTGATCTCATTAAATATTAGATATTCAAATTTATTGCAAAATAAGGTCATAAATATAATAAACATTGTACAAAATTGGTAAAATTGTATCTCCATCAAAATTGTTTTCCAAATGAACTGGAACAAAAATTGTCCTAATAATTCAAGTCTACTTTGTACATTATCAAGAACTGAAAAGCAGTTTTGATTATCCTGACGCTCAAAAATTGAACAAGTGGATTTGGCTATAAGTCAAAATAATGATTTCATGGATTATGTGCAATTAAATACAGATAAGAAGTATGTGAACAACTTAGGTTCACTGTTAGGGATCTTTTCTACCAGCTGGTCCTTGTCTAAACCTCTTTGCATTTTCCCAGATTATCTGTACCTATTTACAGCTGAGTTATTCCAGTCATCCTGATCTAGATCAGAACCCACAGTCACCATTTGCTTGACATAACCAAGCAAATGACGTCATTTAATGAAAGTGCTTTAGAACCTTACAAACCTCTTATCTGGGATGCTAACTTTAATATTTGCATTTTATTTAAAATTCCAGTCAGAACTTCCTTAAATGCACAATTTTAACAAAGATTAAAGAGTTTTTTCTGCAAGTGGCACCTTCGTGTTTAATACTGCATTTATCTTCAAGATTTAGCTAACAAAGTAAACTTCTTAAATGTAAATCCAAACATGCTTTGTATACACTTCACTTCATTTTAAAACAAATGTTTGAAACAAGTGAGATCTAATTTACCAGTTACATTAACAAAAGAAAATGGAGGAAAAGATTAATAGTAACTTGTTAATATCTTGAACGCATTAAAATGTGGAAATCTTCAGTCTTTGATATTTTGAAATAATGAAATATTGCACATAATTCTAATCTAAGTGATTTTTTGACAACAACATTTAACAATTAAGCGATGCGACAAAAATGTCCATTGTTTCCAAATTAAAATATGGGACCATTGTTAACTTTATCCAAATAGCTATGTATGAGGCTACGACCACTTAAAACAACTTTTTCATGACAGAGGGGTTTGTACCTTATAACAACTAACAACTCAGTTTCATAAGAAATGTCTTTGAAACGTATGACCGCTATTCTTATTTGCAACCATACACAAGCTGGTGATCCCTATGATCTGAGTGCCCCTATACAGTCTTACATACTGTAGTCAAAACACAATCGTAGTACTTAATAATATTGGAAAATATCTTGAGATATAAGACAGTAATCAATAATGTAATGAAATTAAACTAAGTTTAAACTTACCCTCTTGGAAGACCAGATGTATCCTTTCCTCCTGACAGCAGGCTGCCGTCTTAATACTAACTCTGTATCTTCCTCGTCCTCAGACATTATTTCTGAAAAAACAAAAAAGTTTTCAGAATTTTTGGTCGGCTTCAATCAGGTTTCTTACATGGTTAAGGGTCAGTCAATGTATCGTGTACTAAGGAAGAAGACAGTATATCATGTTCTTTCAGTTGACGCGGAATTCCTTATGCATCATAGGGTGGTACAGTCACGAGGCTGGTGATGTACATACACGAAACATACACACATTCAGCGATTTTTAATCACCCAAAAAGAAATTTACCAAAGTTTCTGGAGTAACATTAAAATAGGCATCTGCTTGTCTAACATGAATATATCAAGAATTACAAGACAGATTTCACAGATCCTCTTTACTAGCTTAACCTCTTGACAATAGTTTTAGAAGGAAGAAATTAAAAATGTACTTGACATTGTTAGAATGAAACTTATTTTATATCTTTAATTTCCTTGAACCTTTTTATCAATTCACAATATTCACCAACCTTTTCCTGTATTTGTTTACAAATAAACAACAACAAATTATCAAAGGCATTTAGGTGTCTAAACAAAGCAAATCTCTTTTAATTAATGAATGACAAATTAAACCTCTGTTTTTAATACAATTTCTATTGAAACCTAAATCTTGGTTACAAACCCAAATTATGAAAATTGATAAAATGAAAGCCAGCATTTGACAAACCCTCGAAGGCACACGCCATGGCATCAGAAATATTCTCCTTCTGAGCCAAATAATTACTAGTCAGTAACAGAAATCATTTGTCAAAGGTGAACACCTTGATAATTTAGGATTAATGTCATAAATCACATTTCTAATCTTTACAATTGGAAATTGCCTTGATTGATGTGATGCATGTAAGAAGGGCTGACATAGAAAAAGCGTCTAGTCTTTCGGATGGGACAATAAACCGAGGCCCCGTATGTTGGAAATTGAAAAAAGAGCATGCTAATGCTGCTGTCCTGGCATATCAAAATATTGTAAAGAGCCAAAATGAATATGCAAATCTCTCTTATTTTAAATAATTATTAATCTTAATGTATGATTATGAGATCTACCCTTCAATATGTCCTTAGACACAAGGTAAACAAAATACAACATCAATATCACAGAGGGTCAGACACTTCGAATTAAACAATATTTATTATGTAAAAATCATATTGACATGATTCGCTGAGAATTCGCTGTGAAAATCAAACATCTTTCATTATATTAAGAGAATATACTCTATTCAATAGAGAATAATGAATTTCATACTCTTTTTCTTGTTCTTATTTTGATATGTCACTGAAAATTGTCAATGGACATCGTTTAGAATTGAAACCAAAGAAAACTTTCAATGCCCATGCTTTTGAAATGAATGGAGTTTAAAGTCCTACTTTTCTGCACCATGTGGGCTAATGAAGACGGGTAACGCGCCATGCAAGGTGTATTGAGGGAAATTTTGCCAGGACAGTGATTTTAGCCTGCTCTTTTCGATTTCCAACTGTCGAGCAATCTTTCACTTTCACAGCCTATAGCACACGGGGCCTCGGTTTATTGTTTCATCCTAATAACTAGATGCTTTTTTCATTTCAGCACCATTTACCTGTATCACTGACAGGGGTTAAACTGGGTTGAAAAATCTGAAGGTATTATCTTGACCAATGTCGGGATTGAACCTTCAAGTTAGCGAACAATCGTCTAACTCACTGAGCCACTGTGCCATGCCTTTGAGAGTCGGCTAGTATCTGGTCTCTCAAAACCATCCAAACACATTAAGAACTAGCTGGCCAGGATTCCATGCCAGAGGTGGACGTCCTTCCCTGTCCCTCAAAGGCAAAACAATCATACTGTTCTAACAAACATCAAAAAAATGTAAGAAAATAAAACAAAAATTAAATTGAAAGGAAAGATAAAGAGAGCAAAAGTTAAGCTAATATAAACAATTTTAGTAAATATCTCTTAAATTTAATTTTATTTCAGAAGATCAATGGCCTTCATCATATTTAGTTTGGCAGACGGCTTTATTTCTACAGTAATATCTCTCTAATACTCCATTAAACATTATTGTCTCTTGATCATCATACACACATCTTCTCTCATCAAATAATGATACATATCTCAATACATCATAGGATGGGTAAACTTTGTATCAAGGACTTGGTGAATTTCTTGCCAAACCTTTTCTACATCTTTAACTGGTCAAACTTGTTGATTTATTTTACAAAGGAATGAGAAATTCAACTATCACAGGGTGGTTCTCTCAAAAGATGACAACTTGTTTAAAGTGCAATATGATTCAACTTCAACTGATGACCACACAGTTGAATTATAAACTAGCTTTATACCCTCTTCAGTGGCACAAATTACAAATCTTAGGTAGTGTCTACCATTCATGCTTGCACATCTTCATAACTCGCCTGTATTTCCTCATAAAGTGGTCACATCAAAAGGTACCACGTTTTTTAAAAAAATTGTCAATTAAAAAGAAGAATAACAACAAGATAGTGTACAAAACAAATCTCTTTTAAAACAGGACAAAAAAAATCATTAAAATAATCTGACAAACCTTGAACAAAATAATCAAAAATCATCAAAATTAATCCACAAAATATGTTAAATTAATCCATAATTTTCTTTTTTACTTTCCTTTCCACTGATATAATAAATGGAATTGTTATTTTAATGGGTATATATGTCAAATACCTCCAAATGTTTCATATAACACCATTTAAACAGTGAAATCTTTGTATTGTAATATAAGACAGTCAAAGTGTTAAAATAAAAATAAAGAGTTGAAACTACCCATCCTGGTGGAAATAGATAAAGGAAATATATTAATAACATTTCAAGTAGGAGTGAGAACACAAAGATATTGTTACCAAATTAGAGTGAAACCCAAATATTCAGTAGCCTACTTTTTCCGTTGCCAAATTAGAACATGTTTTAGGGCATAGGCACAACTCACATACTAAATACTGTGTCAAACTAGCCAGCAGATTATTTGGCACAATGACCATGGTAGCTCAGTTGGTAGAAAATTTGAAAATTTCCCCCTGCCTTATGATTAAGGGCTTCAGTAGCTCCAAAATCAGATGGTCTCTCCTTATTCATTTAGATACAGCCCATCTTTATCCTGTAGATATACCAGATCTGATAAGAAAAGTGTGTGGATAAGGGAGTGTATACTATTTGCCTCACATAATACTTCCTATTTACATCACACATCATGTTTTATATTGTATTTACATCACATCATGCTCATATAATGCCTACATGCCTATTATTTACATCACATCATGCCTAATATTCACATCGCATTATGCCTACATGCTAACCATTTACATCACATCATGCCTACATGCCAACCATTTACATCACATCATGCCTACATGCTAATCATTTATGTCACACCATGCCTACATGCCAACCATTTACATCACATCATGCCTACATGCCAACCATTTACATCACATCATGCCTACATGCTAATCATTCACATCACATCATGCCGCCATTCCAACCATTTACATCACATCATGCCTACATGTTAACCATTTACATCACATCATGCCTACATGTCAACCATTTACATCACATCATGCCTATGTACCTGCCTACTATTTACTGGTATCTTATGTGATGCATCTTATGTGATGCAAGCAAAGTTCGTAGAGGAAACGTCTTAAAACGTTTTCGGGAAATTGCAGCAACCACAGACGTCTGATTGAAAATTGGAATGTGGAAATTGATGCTATCTGTGTCCCTATTACATCACTATTTACATCACGTCAAGAGCATATAAGAATTTAGCTGAATGTCAAAGCTGCATATTACATAGCAACTAAAGCAAAATAAAAAATATTGTATTCAAAAAAATATAAGTCATATAGCTGTCAGTCTTGATGAGGTTTGACAATTCTATGTAATTTGAATAATAGAACCAGTACAAGTAAACAGAAACTAGAGATATATGTCAATACTCAATATATTTATCCTTGAAACAACTTATCCATTTTCACCACTTTGAATATTGAAATAGTCACTAAATAACTGTATAAATACATACTAATGAAAGTTGGGAAATCTTGAAGGAGAAATGGTAGAAAAAAATTTCATTTTGTGAACAAAATTTCAGAGCTTTTTTCCCTTTCATTTTTTCCATCCAAGGCCTGTACATTTAGGAGAATCAACACTCCTTGGTGGAATTTAATAAATGTCTGGAAGAATGCTTGTTTTCATTCTGCAAAAAGCTCAAGACAGCTAATAAAGAAAACAATTTCGAAGCGTAATGTATCAATTTGAGAGTGAAATTTTAATTTTGAAAAGTGACACATAGGATTATTTTTATTAGATAGCAAGTTTATTTCACTCAAATTTGTACAGTAGTTTCTTTCAGCTTCCAATAAGCTAAAAATTTACATAAATCTTTTTAATAGTTTTGTTGTTAAAAAACAGCTGGATTTTTTTTGTTATAAATATCAGATAGTGAAGGGACACTTTTCTCTAGATTGTGGTGTATAGATTTCACAGAAATTTTTCGACTTACAAAAAGGATTGAATGTTCCTTTAAATTTTAGAAAATAAATTTGATGAAAATATGTGATTTTATTACAGGCTTAACTCACATTTATCTAAAACTTAATCCATTAATTCTAAATCTCAAATAAACTCTCTATTTTATAAAAATATAATCCAATTAAATATTTATCTCCATCCCTAAATCATAACATCCTCGAGATGAGGACACACGCTAAACATAAACTTCTTGTGTATATCTATCATAATAATTATCTACATTCTTGGTTTCGCTTCACTTACTATTAATATAAGAATCACATTTCATAAGGGACGAAGAACCATATAACATTATATACTTCTATATTGCCTAAATATACCTCTATTTATGTTGTCATGTTATTTAGTTATAATTTTCATAACATAACTTTCATTTTCATGACATTTATTATAAAATACATAACTGAATTTCTGTAATACTCGATTTTATTATCAGTTGAAATTTTCATAACATAACTTACATTTTCATGACAT